TATTATTATTATTATGTTATTTTTTATTATCCGCGAATGTTAGCAACTAGACAAATTGAATGCAGCGGTCAAGGAAAAGCGACCAGAATTGGTCGATCGTAAAGATGTCATTTTCCAGCAGGACAATGCTAGGCCGCACACGTCTTTGTCCACTCGGCAAAAATTGATGGATATTGGTTGGGAATTGATGTTACACCCACCATATAGCCCTGATCTCGCGCCATCGGATTACCACTTATTTCGATCCCTGGACAACTCCCTTCGTGGTAAAACTTTTAACGATGACGACGCTGTAAAATCTCACTTAACTCAGTTTTTGGCCGAAAAGGATCAGACTTTCTACGAGCGTGGAATTTTCAAGTTGTCAGAGAGATGGCAAAAGGTCATCGAACAAAATGGAAAATACATTACAGATTAAACTTCGTTCCAAGTAAAAAAAAATTTTATTTCATTGAACAAATCGGCAATTACCAACCCAATATAAAAACGAGACGCTCGAATAATCGCATCTCCTCTTTCCAAATTGTCCATCTTTCTGCGCAATCTGGGCGCTAATTACAGAGAAATTACTGTTATTCCGCTGATTCCGTTTACGCGACGCAAGTTACGCGCCTCTTCTGCGAAGCTAAGCTCTTCTTGAAACGCAAAAATAGTCATAACTCAGAACCAGAATGACATAGGACACGAATTTCTACGAACCTCTTCTAGTCTTCTTCCTCGCTTTCGCGTCACCTCCGTCTCCTCCCATACGTCGGCTGACGATCCACGTAATTGATTAAACAATTTACCCGTCACCGGGACAATCGCATTATGCTTGGATCAGCTGATCGCCGCGCATAATGGTAATGAAACGCCGACCACGAATGCATGATCGATATTGTCGACGGGCGAGCACAGACAATTCCATTCTTCCATTAGATTACGCGGCCGTTCGTTTGAAAGGTCGCGGAAATGACAAGCGTCGTCGTCGAAGGAACCGGCGAGAACGACCTGAAAACGAAACAGTGAACGGTCGAACTTGGTTCGGTGCGTTTCGTTTCGCAATGCCGCAGCAGAAATCGTTCCTGGAAATAACGAGACCGTTGCGTTACATGAACATCATGACCGGAGTTGGTTGCTTCGACCTCTCCGAGGGGAAACATACGTGGTGGCGACTCGCAGAGATCGCGTACACGACCTTGTATTCCGTGTTAGTCGTCGTTCTTTCGTACCAGGTTCACGCGAAGCTGTTGATCTATCACATTCCAATTGAAGTGCATTCGGCCATGTGCATGATGTTCTTTTACTGGACTGTCGTACTGTCGATTTTACTGATGCTCACGGCTAGGATCAATACCGAGGTGAGCCCTTTCTTTTCGTTCAATTCTTCGTCTTCTCGAGCGAATTACAGAGATGTATGATTTTTGTGTCTCGTGTACAGTCGGTGTAGAATGTATTCGTATGCCTTTTGAAATGGAATAACTTTTTTAGCATTCGGCCAAGCGATCTAAATTGTTTGTGGTCGTTAGAGAGATCGGTTTACCACGCATTGGCTAAAAAATTGTTTGCAGACATTGCAAATTAGTTGCCAGGATAAGAAAAGTTAAGAAATGTTTCTCCAATAGGCTCAAAAATGTTTAGATCGCTTGGCCCAATTATAAGGAAGTTATTCCGTGTACGAATACTTTCACACCGACCGTATGAAACTTGGTGAAAATATTTTTGCATATAAATATTATATTAGATATATAAATATTATATTATATATATAAATATTAATTTATTAATATTATATTTTATTTATATATTTACTTATATTTTACATTTGTATCTGTATCATTAATTATATTGTATTTTGTATTATTAATATTATATTATAAACATATAAATATTTATATATATATGTATATATCCTTTCGGTGGTTAGAAAATGCGTAAAGCGATCGCTTTATTGGAGGGCAGCAACCAGAGAATGGAGAACATGGGGATTTCGATGCAGCGTTCTCGACACTATAAGCAACAGTTCCAGATCATTGCAGTTTGCATTGTATTAGTTTTAGGATTCGTGATAGTTAGTTGGAACACGCAGCTGAGACCGCAGCTACCGGTACACGTGAAGCTAATCGCTGCATTAGGCACGAATTTTCCGGTGCTTCTAATAGTGACGTCCGACGCTTCTTTCCTCTTCTGGATCAAGTATGGAATGTTTATGGAATATTTGTTATTAGATTATGTGGATTTTAGACATTTATGACAAAACTAGGCACAAAGAAACGATACATACATATGTGAGCTTTGTTTTCAAGTCGGTCACTTTGTTTTTAAGTCGATATATTTAAGGGTTTGCGTTTTAACACGTTTAATAATATGGATGCTAACTTTCGAGAAGATTTACTTGTATTTGTTATCTCAGCGTACTGATATTTTTCTCAGTATAAATAATTTCGTATAAACATTAAAAAATCATTTTTCATTACGGTAAAGTGACTTATGCCACTTTCAAAATAAACGGCTCATGTAATGGTACGCTTTCGCATAAAAACCCGCAAATCTGCTCGCTAACATAACGATTTCTTTCGAAACGGAATATGAACAGTTATCTGCGGATAAAGTTCAATCAACTGAACAATCTGCTGCACGTGATGGTGACCACAACAATCGATTCACCATCGGACAAAGAGATTCCGAAGTTGATCAACGATTTCGAAGAGGAGACACCCGGCCAAGAAGGCGTCCGTATTGTCAATGGGAACGCGAACACGATGAAGGCGGTAAAGTGAGATCCAGATAGCAAATACTATTCATAATTTAGAAAAGAAATGAAAAGAAACCAAACTTTTGGATTCACTCAAACGTTCGTTATGTTTTAAGTTATCTATTGCGAAACTATAGTGGTCGAAATTTGTATAAGAACACTCATAGTCTTTAGTAAAAAAGGCTAAGTATTAGCCTTTTAACTCACACCTGGAACGGGGTGATCCCTGAGATCATTTGAAGCAACTTTTTCCTCGGCGAAAATGCAATCCGCGGCCTCGTTTACGAGTTATTAACCGAAAACAGCGGCCAATGCGAGGCGAGCTAGGCGCTAGGTGGCTGTAAACGGCTCGATTAATAATTAAAACGGCTGTCATGATCGAACTACTTGCTATTTCGTCTCCGAAAAATTCGTAAATATTCTTCGGACATTCTAAAATAAGGGTGAACGGCGTTTTTCTTCAGATTGTCACTGTCACGCAGTACAAAAAATTCGAAAAGTTCACGCTCCGTGACTTGTTCATTGCTTCGAACGCGACACGGAGCCGTCACGCCTAGCGCTCGATGCCGCGTGCCGCTCGCTCGCTCGACCACGTTGCAGTTCGCGCGCTCGCCTCTCATTGGTCACCGTTTTTCACGTGGAACCGCGGTGCTCGAATAATCGTATCTCCTGTTCCCAAATTGTTCATTTTTGTTTCCAAGCCGAGGGACAATTTGGGAGAATTTACTGTAAAGGATAATTAGGAGGATTCTAAACGACTTTTTCTCTCTTTCTCTCTCTCCTTCTTTCAACGAAGAGAAATTCATCTGCAATTGGTCAAGATCGCCAGAATAGTTAACGACTTCTACGGAATGCAGCTTCTACTGACGATGTCCACCACTTTCGTTTTCCTCACTGTACTGCTGTTCTGCGCCTACATAACTATTTTCGCCGGTTTGACCATCGAACATTTCCAAAACCAGTTAATAATGCTGTTCGTCTGGATATTGTTCAACTTGTCGAAACTGTTCACACTAAGCCACGTGTGCATCAAGACCAGCACCGAGGTGAGACGCGCGAAATTTGTCCAATTGTTCTGATGCGTCAATTTTTATCGTTCGTTCTGTGCATTTCTCGCAGGCTTCGGACACTGGCGAACTTGTCTGTCAGCTTTACGAGCCCTCGACGAGCAAAGAATTCCGCGCCGAGGTACGGTCTTATTGTGACCGCGAATCTTTATGGAAAGATCAAAATCGAAATCAATTTTAATAAACATTTCCTGCACTATAACGTGCAGGAAACTACGCAAATATTTTGCTAACTAGGTTGAAAATAGTGCATCGGTATTTTTAAATTCCCTTAATTTTTTTGTACCGTTTAAGTCATTTAATGGTATATAAATAATAATATTGTGGCGGCTACCTCCAGACCCGCCAGCAGAGGGCTCCTCTTCCCGCTGGTAGCCGATCCGCCGATCCCCCTATATATACACCGAGACTTCGTCCTACCCTTACGTCTAAGGCAAGGGCCCGCTAGGATAGCCTTACCGATGAGTCCTCTAGCGGGCCCCGGACGAAACGTCTCCCACTCCTTGATGTGAACACACAACCTTTCCGATCAACCTACATCGTTGTAAACATTGTACATAGTAGCTTTAAGGCTCAGATGTAGGTTGATTCAGGTGGGATCAGGGTCAGGTAACGTTTGCACTGCCTCGGGCATTAAACGCGGTCAAGTCGAGTAGAGCTACGCAGGCATCCTTACGACCGCGTCGATGCCCACGAGGTATAGCAAACACCTAGCATGGAGAGGACCCCCATCTTAGATATCGTTATCACTGGCAGGGGGGTATGTGGCGGCTACCTCCAGACGTAAGGGTAGGACGAAGTCTCGGTGTATATATAGGGATCGAGGCGGATCGGCTACCAGCGGGAAGAGGAGAGCCCTCTGCTGGCGGGTCTGGAGGTAGCCGCCACAATATATAATAATATTATATTATATGCAATAAATCGCATATAATATATTATATGTTAATATAATATTTTAATAATAATCATAATATATATTATATAATTTATATAAATTATATAATAAATATTATATTATATGCAATACATCGCATTTGTTGCAACGCAAGAAAAATCGTTGGAAAGTCGAAAATACCGATATCCGCTGAAAATAGAAAAGATTAACACGTTAAATGCCACGCCGGTTTTACAGAAATTGTCCGTGACGCCACGATGAATTTTCTTTTATGTGACACATATAATGTTGAAATATTATCTGCAATAGATAAGTTGCAGTGTATAACCATGTTTGACATGTTAATTGCGACTGTTCGAATCGACGATGGTAATAATACAAAATTTTAGATATTGACATTTCTTTGAAATTATATATATTTCTATCAATTTGGGCGCGCCGGTGGCCCCCATGGCGTCACCGCCAAGTTAAGTGCCGGTCACCGATGACCCCCGTGGCATTCAACGTGTTAAAATTACATCTATGTGTTCACTGAATGCTTCGTTTTAGATTCGGGACTTCAGCCTGCAGATGGTCCAGAATCCGTTGGTTTTTACCGCTTGCGGATTTTTCTATTTGGACGAGTCGTTCGTTCAAGGGGTGCGTCGATTAACGATTACATTAAAAACGAGAAAGTTCTAATGAACGTAACCGTGAAAGGAATCGCAGTGCAAGGGGTTAATAATCATTTTAAATCAATCGGAACATTCTACTTTCAGGTAATAGGCACGATCAGCACCTATTTAGTGATCTTGATTCAAGTGAGCGAAGTCAATTTGCCCGAGAAAATTGTTGGAAATACGACCGTGCCTACGAATGTTATACAAATGATGTAAGAAAATTGACGAGTACATTTTTACATAAATGAACCGGCATTATTAACGTAACGGGAGGCAAAAAAGCACCGATCTCATAACGCGAAGCAGGTGGAAATGGGAAATTGTCTCTGGAAGAAGCATAATTAAATAAATAAGAACAATTTAATGAAGGTAAAGGCTAATTAATTTAGAAAGATGAATATTCAACGGAAGAACGATGTCTTCGTTTCTACGTGTCAATAAATTGTTTCGAGTGACAAATATAAATCAGATTCTTGGAACTCCTTGCGGGAATCTCTGGCCAGGTGGCTAAGTCCCTCAAACTATCGCCCAACAATTTTCCGCCAATTAGAACGCGGACAGGGATGATGTCCCAATTATACCATCCCCTAAGCACGTCGCGCGATTCCAGATGGAGGCGTTAGTCCATGAAATTCGGTAACCCTGAAATTCGATAGCTTGTAATTCGGCGAAAGTGATTCTTTCTTTGACGGCTTTCTAATCGATCCGAAAGTAGCGAGAAATACGTTAGGGCAAAACGACGAAGGGAAATAGAAGCAATCCTAAATTAACGACCGTTGCACGGCTGTTACGAGCGTTCGAATTTGTCCAGTTCTTGGTACAACGTAATATATGATAACGTTTATAAACATTTATACTGGTTAAAATGCGTCTCCCTATTTAAAAAGAAACGTCGACGAGCTCAAATTTTGGAAAATATAATTTTGTAGAAAATGTTCCGCGTCGCATTAATTGCAACTCTGGCGAGGACACTGTTTTCCCCACAAAGACATTTTTTAGTATCATCAAGAACGACAGAAATATATAGGTTGAAATGTACCACTCGTCATAGTTTTTTATTATAATCACTCATGTAAATATAAATTTTAATTGTAACCTAGAATATAAGCCTTCGCATATAGTTAATTGCAACGACCTCGTTATATATTATTACTATTATTATTATTATTATATTATTATATTATTATTATTATTATTATTATTATTATTATTATTATTATTATTATATTATTATTATTATTATTATGTTATATATTAATACATTAGAAACAACAATTGTCTCGCTCTATTGGGGAAACTATTAAGGACGACGAAGTGCTAATTAACGCAAAAAGAAGTCGTAGTGCAACGGGTTAAATAAAAGCATAGTTCGTCGACTACACTCGACTATACTTTTATTTGAAAGGAGACCGACTGTACTGAAGCACATAGTTTCGCAAAAAAGTGCCACAGTGGACGGAGCACGCCCGACACACGTTTACAACGGGTGTAACATTAATTGGGAATTAAGGGTGCGAACGACGCGGTCCGTCAGGAGCCACCTGCTACTGCGGATCGTTCGCGGAGGGTAAGGAGAATTGATATATTGCACCCAAGGGGGCACGCGGGCTATGCAAGTGCCCTGCCATCCCCTAATCCTCTCCCCTCTCGTTAACTAACGTTCGTAAGGGATACTTCGGCTTTATTGTCGATTAAATTATTCCAGTCGCTAGAATAGAATTCGCGACTGTGGGACGCGCTCCGTGTTTACGTGCGGACAGATATTTTAATATTTTCAATTATAGGGGAGAGTGGGATGAAACGATATATATATATATATATATATATATATATATATATATATATATATATATATTTATATATATATTTGGCGGCTGTTCGAGAGTGTCATGGAAAGGGGAGACGTTTCGTCCGGGGCCCGCTAGAGGACTCATCGGTAAGGCTATCCTAGCGGGCCCTTGCCTTAGACGTAAGGGTAGGACGAAGTCTCGGTGTGTATATAGAGATCGGAACGGATTGGCTACTAGCGGGAAGAGGAGCCCTCTGCTGGCAGGTCTGGAGGTAGCCGCCACATATATATATATAGAAGCATGTAGAAATATTTTATATATATATTGCAGCGAGGCTGCGAAGAATTGTGCAGTCGGTATTTGCAGAGATAGATCATTAGACTTGGTTTTTCCAGGCTTGTGGAATTTTACTTCTAAATGCTTTGATTCAGACCTGCCCTAAACGTTTGTACGAACTTCTTGACGCCATTGATAGAAGGCCGTGTCAGATTTGAGATAGATTTCGGTTCGACGTATTATAGAAATAAGCGATAATATATATTATAGAAATATTATAGAAATCAGCGAACAATAAATTATTGTTAACGCTGGAACTGCTCAACCGATCGAAATGACTCGGCTCCGTTCTTTTCTATTACGATTACTAAAACTATAAACACCTTTGCAAGAGAAACTGTTTGATAGAAATCGTAGAAGAGAGGAATAATTATGCAGGGTGTCCCAGGTTTTAATGTTCAAACTTTGTCAGTATATTCTATGGCACAAAGTAAGAAAAAAATGTTATGTAAACATAGGTCATATAGAGCTTTATTAAGAAGTTATAACAAAAATTCAGAGTAGGAATAGTAATCAACTAAAAAAAAATAAAAAATAAAAAAAATCTTCGATCGATGTCAATCATGTATTAATAACCGTTGTTGTCAATACATGATTGACATCGATCGAAGATTTTCTCTTATTTTTTATTTTTTTTTAGTTGATTACTATTCCTACTCTGAATTTTTGTTATAACTTCTTAATAAAGCTCTATATGACCTATGTTTACATAACATTTTTTTCTTACTTTGTGCCATAGAATATACTGACAAAGTTTGAACATTAAAACCTGGGACACCCTGTATACCTTACATATATATTATGTAAAAAATATAATTTTCTAAGACTGAGTGTCGTGAACACAAATTGTCTTCGTTTATTAGATATCGAAACGTAAAAGGAAACGTCAAAACTTCTTGCACAGTATAATTAATAACTCTGGTTGAACGTGGTTAAATTAGAGCTCAATCCGAATACGCCTAATGCCTCGCTCCACTGTATCATAATTAGAAAGTAGGTGACCATGCCTCCCAAGCTCTGTAACAAATCAATTTTCAAATTAGCAGAGATTAGTTTGATCTGTTTTCAAATTTTTTTTTGCCAAGAAATGGAATCTCATTCCACATATTATTTCAAATGATTGCAACAGTTTCAAGTAGGCAAGATCTATTGAGAAATCGAATTCCACATTAATTGTTAATTAACAACAATGCAATTCACAACATTAAGTTTCTGATTTGTAAAAAATTCTAAATATTTAAACAGCTATATTTGAACGAGAAAAAGAAATGCGGACAAACGAATGTGAACTCATTTTATAGCTTGGAGTCAGTGAAACAGGGAACGTGCGTTCTCTTGACCATATCGTCAACTTTCACTGAACTATAATACTGTGTTAGATATCGTTCGTTCTTTCTTGAAAAATTGTCATTTTTTTCTGGAACAGCATTCATCTAAAAATAATATTCATTTGTACAACAGAAACCAATCTACCTGCAATATAAAAATGTCGTTCAGCCAGAAGAGATGCGAGTCTTTGTGGTCTATTTCAGCGAGAGAGACTTGCAGAGAAAATTGTATGAGCTAAAAGCAAAGAGACACACAATTTTTATTTTCTCCAAAATTCAAACCGTATCGACATTATTAACAAAAATCTTCGAGATCGCATGTGGCCGATTATCTGTTCAAACAGAGAATTAGTTTTTGCTGATTTATTTAATTATTATCTCATACTTTCTTTTTCATCGAATGCAAATTATTTTGTCTTCCTGGAATCCTTATTTACGTAATGTTTTTTAAGTCGACAGTCGCGCCACGTTTGTTCATTCTCACCTCGTGCTTCAACTCGATGTCAGAATTGTGTATGGAGCACACGTGAATAATCTGTACTATCTGCTTCGCCTAAAAACGTGGACGAAATTTTTCAATAATCTGAACATTGGAAAATCATGAAATTTTCCTTTTTCATCCAGATAATGGAATTTGATTTTGATGGATAATAATTCGTGAAACTTCTCACCTCTTTGGCGGTCTTCTCGCAGAAATAGCACAGCGCAGCAACTCTCAGCCAGACGTAGAACCCATTCGTCACATAAAAGCTCCACGTAAGCATCGAAGTGGTAGACTGCGCATTTAGAGTGAGATAATTTACGTAAGCGATGTACAAATTTGTGACAAAATTATGTATGGCCACTATCGAGTGAAACATTATCTGAGTGTCGAATATTTTGTTCAGCAATTTCGTAATCGTGCACAATTTTAGGTGAATGTATCTGCGAGCAAAACAAATTTTTAATTAATACAAGTTTTATTTATTGAATTTTCAACAACCAAGGACCGAACCCACTGAACCCTCGTGCACCGTCAGAAAGTCAACCGAGCCACGGGTTCCATTTTATCTATAGGAACCACTTGGCTTTTCAAAAACGTATTTATTTCCAGCATTTTATTTTATATTATTATTTCAGATAATTGTGAAAAATTTGTCACGGAGATTCAATTTTTATATAGGGATTTAATTACTAGCTCTGATTTTGGTTTGTACTGACATCATCCTCATCGACATTTCTGCAATATGAAGTTAATTATGTTAAATTATTTATTATGTCATCATCATTTAATTATGTTAAATGATGTCATCCATACTAATAGGGTGATTATTCTCTTCCGCGACAATCTTAGACGGATCCAGACGAAAATCTCTTAAAGATGAACTTTTTGAAGAAAGAGTTTCAGCCAAAGTAAATTGCTGCAAAGATTTCTTAAAGATTTCTTAATCATTTTCGTTGCATATCATTTCGAGGATTATTGCTCCACGAAGAAAAAGTTTTGCATAAAGCAAATTGATATAAACTGATTTATATTCTTCTACAATCTAATTCTATATGTATATTATTTATATTATGTTATTATATTATGTTATTATATTATGTTATTATATTATATTACTTATATTATATTATGTATATTATTATTCTTCCATAAATGTTAATAAACTCCAGGTAAATAGCATAATCGATGAAGACACGATTAAACATCGAATTCGTACGGTGCACGAGAATTAATTGCAATCCTCGATACCTGATTCGTTGAAGAATATTGATCTTGTCCAAGGTACACAACTGACGTTCCACGATTCGAGTTCCACTGAATGGAGCGACTTTGTTTCGGCAGACAAAATGCCCGATGCGCCATTCGTTTAAACATCTTTGCAACCACGAGGCAACCATTTCGTTATTCCAGTCTTCCATTTTTATCGTGCAATCTTCGATGAAGAACTTCCTCAGAAGATCGTTCGTTTGTTTGAAGCTTCTTTCCAGCCAACTGAAAGCCGGTCAACATAACTAATAATAAGTAAATATTAATAATAAATATTGTAAATATCATAACAATAAATATTATTGAATTATCATTCAATTATCATAACAATAAATATGATTGAATTATCTCATTCAATTATCATAACAATAAATATTATTGAATCATCATTCAATTATCATAACAATAAATATTATTGAATTATCATTCAATTATCATAACAACAAATATTATTGTATTATCATTCAATTATCATTATTATTATAATATATTGAATTATCATTCAATTATCATTATTATTATAATATATTGAATTATCATAATTATTGATTATTGCATACAGTTATCGATTATCGTAGCTATTAATTATTATAGCTTTCGAACAGTGTGATTTTAAAACACGAACGGATCACCAAAGAACAGACTTAGAAAACCATTTGCACAAAAGATGTTCGAAACCGTCTCATTTAAGATTCTGTATCGCATACAATTTTAAAAATCGATCACATACCAAACATGCAACGTAAAATCCAAGACGACCATTCCTCCTGTGTAGATCATGATATTGAGTAATGTGTCGCTCAATACATTTGTCATCTCCACCCCAAGTACGTTTAATGCATATACGTAATACATACAGTACGCGAATCCGTTAAGGGCATTAATAACGCAAATTGCGACAATCCATGTGTATATATTGCGATAATCGATCGCAGCGTTCAGTTTCATTAGGCTCTGCTCTACCTGTGCGATATCCTTGCTCAAAAGTGACATTTCCTGCAAAATAAGAACAAACGGAAGAATATAATCCGAGTGCGAAATCTAGAATTCGTAGAATTTCAAAACGGATATACAGCGATTTATTTGTTTATTGACATATATTTGTTTTTGGGAAGCGGTTTTGGTTCATTCGAATTACATTTAATATTTCGAACACCATGAAATTAAGATAAATATATCACAAGACAGTCATACGATACTTTTTGCACTTCGTATTTATACTGAAAGTTGTGAATAATCGCGTGGGTGTTTAAAAAAGAGAACCTCCTAATTAGCTGAAATCAATGCCTTTTTTAAGGTGCATTGTTTTACACGATTTTACGAATGTACATGCTTTAGCACTTAAAATCTGACTTAGATCGATGGGAAACTACCCTATGGGCAACTCTTACATTCACATGAACGCTCGCACGTACAATTATTATTAATTATATTCTTCTGGATTACGTACCTCATAATACCGCCAGCCGAATACTTGTATTATAAAAGTAGACAAATATGCGACGATCGTCATAATCACGTATGTTGCGGACATCATGTACGTAGACACAGATTCCTGTTGAAGGAATTCTTGGAAACCGTTCACGTACACGGAATAAAGAAAGCATGGCATTAGGATCGCTTTATAGAGAATGCTTAACGCTAACCAAAACCACGTGTTCGAACGATTGAATGTTCTGACTCCTGTTATGCGATTCAAACTAACGACAATCTTTGTTACATCGTCAAATGTGCCTGTCCTCATTGCGCGTTCTCCACCTCCTACCAGTTCGAATAATTTACGTCTTTCGAATCCCTCGAACGATGCTCACTTAATTCCCCAAAACGTGGACGTTCTCTTCGCTTCTTCGTTAATTCTTTGTTCTTAAGCACCATCAAATTCTCTCTATTTTTTTTCCGGCGAGAAACAAGTTCTGCTGCTACCAGTGACCAAGAAGACAGGTACATACTGTCGGCGTATTTGAGTAATCGTTTGTTGTCCTGGCGGGACGCGCGCTCCTCCGGCGATAAATTGCTAGAAAGCAATTGCATTACAGCTTAGAATAAAAAATAACGTCTACGACGATAACAAATGGTTCGAATTGTCCATTAGCATCGGAAGCGTTCCGTCTACGGCTGTACTGGAATCGAAAACATCACGACTTACGGGGACGAAACACAAGCAAGATTATCAATTTCATTTACGCGAATTCCTTAATTGAAATGCACGGAGGTTGCGTTGCATTTTTAACCATTTGCACTCGAAGCTATTTTCACTGTAAATCTAAAATCATTTTTCTAGCTTCTAGTATTTCTATTTTATACGGCAAAGTGCATTTCATGCATATGAAATTGACCCTTTGTACTCGAAACTATTTTAACTGTAAATCTAAAATCATTTTTCTAGCTTATAGTATTTCTATTTTATACGGCAAAGTGCATTTCATGCATATGAAATTGACTCTTGGGACTCACACAAAACAGTTACACTGTTAATAATTTTTTAAATCTAAACTTTGTTAATATCAAAATGATCTTAAAAGGTGATACAACAAATTTTAGTGGTGCCTCAAAATGCATTTTATGCATATGAAATTGACTCTTGGGACTCGCGCAACATATTACACTCTTAATAATTTTTTAAATCTAAACTTTGTTAATATCAAAATGATCTTAAAAGGTGATACAACAAATTTTAGTGGTGCCTCAAAATGCATTTAATGCATATGAAATTGACTCTTGGGACTCGCGCAACATATTACACTCTTAATAATTTTTTAAATCTAAACTTTGTTAATATCAAAATGATAAAAGGTGATACAACAAATTTTAGTGGTGCCTCAGAGTCACCACTCGAGTGCAAAGGGTTAAACGTAGCTCTTTGCGTTTGCGGAATACAGCGGTGCACCGTTAAATTTACACGTTTTTTTTTTAATAAAGAAAAATTATTGTTTCGTTTACTTATAAGAAAAGGAGCGACAGCATATTGCAGTAGCATGGCAGGCAAGTTAAGGGTGGTTTCAGACTTTCGGCAAAGCTCGATAGATAGAAGCCCGCCAACTTTCTCGATCGAAGCATATGGCCGGGATTAAAGATGGAGATTTTAGAAGAGTAAACCCAAACAGACTGCTACGATTCTAATAATCCGCAAACATCGTTTATCATGTCAGATGGATTCACCCCAACATGGCCACTCCCTCTCGAGGGTGCGGGCAACCAATTGCATGTCAAATGTTTATCCCCTTTCCCTTTTCTATTTATATCAAATCGGGTTGTACCGCGGACTTAGGATCTGCACAGACATTGCATCTTATACGGGCTTTTCTGTCTTAGGTATTTTTTGGACCACGGTGTAGCGGACTGTGTTTTGAAATATAGAAGTCGCTTTAATAAATTATACCCACTTTTTTCCAGTGACGCCTGGTAAAAGTGCTATAGCTTAATGGAAATCATGGGAAAGGTAGCGGGCTTCTTCTATCAGGGGGCGAGGAGAGGGAGGTGATCAAGAAAGATCAACGCATCTTATATTTACATAAATAATTAGTTACTATGCAACACCGAATTGTTTGTACATGAAATATTGTCTATTTCTGTGTAAAATCATATATACAAATTTGTATTTATAGTACATATTACGGCTAATGTTGCTTCTTTCCGTATTTCAATTTATTCTTAAGCTTCTTTGGATTTATTCCGTACATTTTTAGCCTTTCCGGATTTAATGAAACAATATCGCCATTAGTTTCTTTCGACTTAGTGCCTTTCCCTTTCTTCTTGTTCAATATTTTGTTTTTCAACTTCTCCTTGAGCTTCACTTTCTTCTTCAGATGGTTAGAACCTGTCTCGCCATTGCTTTGTCCTCCAACAGTACTCTTACTCTTTAAAGATTTCTTGATTTCTTTAGCTATGTGTGATTCATTTTCGATGCTTACGTTCGAATTAGATTTTTCAGCATTATCATCCGTATGTTTCTTTTTCTTCTTCGATGGTTCCACTAATTGTTCAAGTTGTTCCTCAGTCCTTACTCGTTTTCCACTTCCTTTATTTTTCTTTTTAGAATCTTTCTGCATCGTCCCTAAAGAATTTGTAATGTTTTGCTTACCCACATCGGTCTCATTCGATGCTTCTTTATCTGATTCATTAATAGACTGGACATTCTGCGCTTCTTGTTTTTTCTTTCCCCTACGTCGTTTCTTCTTCGTCTTTTTCTCCTCCTCAACGGCAGTAGTAACGTTTGTGGCATCCTGCATTTCGCTTTCTTCCTCTGCGTCCTCTGGATTCCTGAAATATGTGTATATATATATATATACAACACGTCCCTAATATCGTTCTTTGAAACTTATGATGTCATTTGGTATTTGTACTTGTATAAACTCGCGAGTATCTTCCTCTTAACAAATTCGTTGCTAGCTTTCTGCTTGTACATTCTGACATCGTTTAATTCCGCATGGTCGGGTTTGTGTTGAAGCGCTTTTTTCAAGGAACACCATTTATTTAACTCCTTGTCATCTGCCACTAAAATCTGATTAAATAAATACATTAAAATACTGATACATAAATTACTAGAGTCATTAATGTTAATTACAGAAAGTTGGACGCAACCTTACATACTTAAAAAGGTTATGTCATTAATACCTGGTTTTATGATGAAACTAACCTCTTCTACACTTAAACCATAATCATTGGGTACAACTTGTCTATATTTAAATCTGCATGGTATGTCTCCGATCATATCCTCATAGTTTAAAGAGTAATACTTGTCAAAGTACTCTTTGTAAGACCTATACTGTTGAGGATCAAATTTAGGTTTTTTCTGTGCGATTAGTTCAGCAAATTTGGATTTCCGTCTACGTTTCTTTTTCTTTGTGTCATTTTCCTCTGTATGATTATTTTCGAAGGGATTATAGTCAGCATCCATCTAGAATTCCAGAAAATGAATTCGCATCATTTACAAAAAACCTGTATAAATCTAACGGTAAATGCATTACATTGAAATTTTCATCCTCGCAATGAGGTTCTTTGTATCCTTCTTCAGCGTATGCATAGTTATTTTCCGCAGTTGGATCGTAATTATCCCACGTACTTTCGATTTCGAGCTCTTCATCAATATCCGGAAATTCAGGTTTTATATCTTCTTCAGGAGCCGTATAATAGTCATCATTAAAGATTTCCGTCATTTTCTTGTCATACTCATCAGGATCGAAATCACCCTCTAAGTCAATATTGTTAAACTTTATATCCTCATTTCCTGTAATTTCTTTCAGTTTCTCTATCTTCTCTTCGATCTCTTTTCTCTTTAATGCTCTCAGCTGCTTCAATTCTTCTTGCTTTCTAAGCTTCTCCTCTTCCTTTCTTTGTTTCACTTCCATTCTTTTCTGAGCCCTACGAGTATCTTTCTTACGCATCGAATTTTCCATGGTACGTGGATACCTCTTAATGAACTCTTGATCTGGTTCCTCGAACCTAAAGTTATATTTATGTTCGAATTCTTCCTGTTTCTCTATATTGTTTTCATCTTCTGATAAATTTTCGTCACTGTCATGTAGTAAATGACTACTGCCTAAATCAGGGTTTTCATATTCATTGTCTAAGTATTTATTATTCAATACATAGTCTCTCAAGAACTTCTCATTCGTATCTAGATGAGGATTAGACCAAAAATCACGCAAAGGTTTAAGCGTTTCTTGTTCCTTCTCATTTATATTTGATCTTTGTCCTTTTAGCCACTCTTTATAATCTGCTTCTTCCTAAATAAAACAAGCAATGTTTTACAAATGAAAATACAAGGACATAGTAGTAACTTACCTTTTGTTTCTGTGTTTCAGACTTTGACTTTGGTTTTAAGAAGGCTCCGTCATCTTCGTCCTCATCATGTAGTACATCTTTGAAGCTTTCTTTTATTCGTTCTTGTTCTTCGTCGTATGTTACTTTCTTAGCTTTCTCTTTACTTTTTTTCATTACATTCTCGTCCTCACTGTCACTGAATTTTCCCTCTCGTTCTACTATAATGTTCCTTTCGTAATCTCGCAAATAAAGAGCTTTTTCTTTCTTAGTTTTATCAGACAATTTCTTTCTTTCATAGTACGACTCTTGCGCTTTATTCGTGTCATCGAAGAAAGTTACATCTTGATTATAAATATTTTCATCCTTCTTCTTTAACAAAGCTAAGGTTTTGTAAAAATCTTTATCGAACTGTTTCGTCACCTCCTGTAAATATTAATTTAATTAAAATAAAATACACCAAAGTCGGTTGTAAATAAAATTTGCACAGTACATTTTCTTCTTCTTCTTCAGAGGATGATGAGCTCTCGGTATCAGAATCTCCATCTGAGACTGTAGTTACATTGATATCCCCATACTTTGTTTTCACTGAAACATTAACACATTCATCCAAGTATTTACAATTAGTAAAAGTGGTAAAATATATATAATACACTTACATTTATTTAATTCTTCCTTCTGCCGCCAATTATTATAATTCTTAGCATAGTCGGTATTTATTTTCAATTCTCCCTCCGAATCAGAATTCTCAACGTTAAAAAGCGTACGCATTGTGTGAAATAATCATTTAACATGAACAGATAAGCACTTATGCAAAATAAATTTCCACTTTATTTAATCTTTTCCAGAATTATGGATAAAATTATTCGTAAGTTGATACGACACAAGAGTTTTGTTTTTAATGTACAAAATGTATAAATCTGTATACATAACCAACTTTAGAGGTTATATTAGGTTATGTTTTAAGAGCTCAAAGAAGCAAATGCTTTTTCTATCACCGTAAAATCATATAGTAATGGGCCTAATCCTGCACATCTCCAGCTTAATCCGATAACGAGGGTCAATATAGAAATTTTCTTTGCTCTGATTGCCTGACGATTCACTGATGAGACAGTGCTGCCCTCACAGTCAATGACAAAGAATTACATATGTGATTGGCTTATGCTGCTTTCCGTTTCAGCCACTAGGTGGCTAGAGTCGTTAACCCTCTCTCACAAGTAAAATTTTGCGCTATTAGCATATAATAGACGTAATGTCAACCATCGTCACAATCTGCCTTTCGGTGGTCTCAGTCAATATCTCAAGGATCCTTATTGTGGGTGATTTTCCTCGCATATAAGTTGAGTTGATTTTTTGACGGAGGCTCGTGTGAGGGTTCCAATTTTTTTGGAGGAGTCTGTGTGTTGTGACGGTTCCAAATTTTTTGGAGGAGTCTGTGTGTGACGGTTCCAAATTTTTTGGAGGAGCTGTGTGTGACGGTTCCAAATTTTTTGGAGGAGTCCTGTGTGACGGTTCCAAATTTTTTGGAGGAGTCTGTGTGTGACGGTTCCAAATTTTTTGGAGGAGCTGTGTGTGACGGTTCCAAATTTTTTGGAGGAGTCCTGTGTGACGGTTCCAAATTTTTTGGAGGAGTCTGTGTGTGACGGTTCCAAATTTTTTGGAGGAGTCTGTGTGTGACGATTCCAAATTTTTTGGAGGAGTCGTAAGGGTTCCAAATTTTTTGATGGAGTCCGTAAGGGTTCCAAGTTTTTTGGAGGGGTCCGTGAAGGATCCAAATTTTTTGGAGGGAACCGTGAGGGTTCCAAATTTTTCGCCGGCGCCCGTGAGGCTTCGAAATTTTTTTCCGAGTCCCTCGAGGTTTCCATATTTTTTGCGGGAGTTCGTGAGGGTTCCAAATTTTTTGCCGGAGCCCATGGGGGCTCCAAATCTTTTGCCGGAGCCCGTGAGGGCTCCAAATTTTTTGCCGGAGCCCATGAGGATTCCAAATTTTTTGCCGGAGCCCGTGGGGGCTCCAAATTTTTTGCCGGAGCCCGTGAGGGCTCCAAATTTTTTGCCGGAGCCCGTGAGGGATCCAAATATTTTGCCGGAGCCCGTGAGGATTCCAAATCTTTTACCGGAGCTCTTGAGGGTTCCAAATCTTTTGCCGGAGCTCTTGAGGGGTCCAAATCTTTTGCCGGAGCTCTTGAGGGGTCCAAATTTTTTGCCGGAGCTCTTGAGGGGTCCAAATTTTTTGCCGGAGCCCCCCATGAGGGTTCCAAATTTTTGCCGGAGCCTGTGAGGGCTCAAATTTTTTTGGAGGAGTCTGTGAGGGTTCTAAATTTTTTGCCGGAGCCCCGTGAGGGTTCCAAATTTTTGCCGGAGCCCGTGAGGGTTCCAAATTTTTTGCCGGAGCCCGTGAGGGTTCCAAATTTTTGCCGGAGCCCGTGAGGGTTCCAAATTTTTGCCGGAGCCCGTGAGGGTTCCAAATTTTTGCCGGAGCCCGTGAGGGTTCCCGGAGCCCGTGAGGGTTCCAAATTTTTGCCGGAGCCCGTGAGGGTTCCAAATTTTTTGCCGGATCCCGTGAGGGTTCCAAATTTTTTGCCGGAGCCCGTGAGGGTTCCAAATTTTTGCCGGAGCCCGTGAGGGTTCCCGGAGCCCGTGAGGGTTCCAAATTTTTGCCGGAGCCAGTAAAGAGGGTTCCACATTTTTTCCCCTATGCGGTCGCCACCTTGTCGTGGTATAGGGGCTTAAGTACCTGCGATGAAGACTGGAGCGATGCCGGCGGGAACTTCGGTTCCTGGCAGGGCCTCCCATGCCGGTAAGGTCTAGTCTGAGCGGTGAAAACTAAGAGCGACCAAGGATGATTACACTGTCCGACAAAATCAAATTTTTTTTCTGGGTTCCTATAGCCACTATGAAATTCTTGTAGAGTTTCACTCCCTGAACAAGATTCCGAGAACCGAATTGCTCCATCACCCTCAGTTTTTTAAAATGAGGTATTGCATGAAAAGTAAAAACGTTAGAAAGTTCTAATTGGTGTTAAGAGATAGAGGAGAGTTTCCCGAATATAGTGGCATGCAATTTATTAATTGTTTTTGGTCCTAAATAGCAACAAATTGATGTCAAAGTTTAAAAAGTGTCGACGTGCGCAGTTTCTTCGCAATATTTTTGTATTTTTACGAAAAGTTCTTTGTTCAGCACGAAAACTCTACACAGGATCGGATTCTGTAGACATTTCTGAAGAAGAAACGGCCCGATAGAAGTGTCGGAACGATGTACATTTTGAGTAGGTCGCGAAAATGTTTGCCGCCACGTGCTTCGCTGCACGCCTCTTTCTGCCCGACAGGGCCGAAGCTATGGGTAATCAACACCCCGATGGAGGGATCCAATGGTGCACCCACTTTTCGTAAATAATATTTGAATTTTTTTTAGTACTTCAATGTTCTGTTTTTTTTACATATTTCTGTGGATAATAATCTCCAAAACTGTGCTATATTTCACCAAAAAAATCACACCAGAGTATTTGGAGTTGGTAACGAAAGTATTCTATAACACTAGTATAGTCCCGCTCCCCCGGGCGGGGCGGGGGTGTCTGGCGAGCAGATTTCTTCTACGTTAAATAAAAAAAAAGAGTTCCACATTTTTTTCGTGGGAACCCCTAAGGGTTTTTATTATTATATTTTATTAATATTATATATATTTATATATTTATTATTATATTTTATTAATATTATATATATATTTATATATATATGTATTATTATATTTTATTAATATTACATTTCAGGAGTCCCCTGGAAGAAGTGGAACGGCGTCAACCATCGCTGGATTTTTAGATGTTTAGTAATTGCAATAGCGTGCGTATGCGTAGATCTGCGAGCGAGTTATAGGTTATGCGGAATGATGATGATTGTAGTGCGATTGTAAAGCGTTTTGTATCCTAGCGTTTAAGAGTGAATAAAGCGGCGTTTAGACAGCAAAAGGAAAAGAAGAGAGGATAGTGTATGCAAGTGTGAGTGAGTGCAGTGAGGAGAAAGAAGAGGAAAGGAGCCGCCAAATTAATTAAAAATTGTAAAAATTTAAATAAATAGAATTGTACGGGCATGGTATTATTAGAGACCATGCTCAACACATAAAATTATAAAAATGTGTAAATAAAAAAAAAAAAAAAAAATAATAAAAATTATAAAAATTACACGAATAAAATGAAATTGTACGCAATGAAATATACCACCTGGATTAAAGCATTAATAAATAAATAAAAAAAAATCACCAAAATATAATAAAATTGTGAAGTATCAAATGAATTCTTCGAAAGCGTTTCGAGTATCGTTTTGATCTCCGAGGAGAGTTTGAAAAATCGTTCTAGTATCATTTAAATAGTTTTCGCTACTAAAATAGGAGTAATATTTCAAATTAAAAATATCATTTATTTAAAAATATAATTTCTTAAGACCAAGTGTTAAAAAGGAAAAATTCTCTACATGTACCAGACATCGAAACATAAAAAGAAATGCTAAAACTTGTTGCACAGTATAATTAATAACTCTGGTTGAACGTAGTTAAATTAGAACTCGGTCCGAATACGCCTAATGTCTCACTCCACTGTATCATAATTAGAAAGTAAGTGAATATGCCACCCATGCTCTGTAACAAATCAATTTTAAAATTAACAGAGATTATAGCTTGATCTGCTCTCAGATTTTTATTGTCAACTTTTACTCAATTATAATAGTTAGTTAGTTATCTATCTAGTATAGTTATCTATCTATATCTATCTATCTATCTATCTATATATATATATTAGTTATCTTTTCAACAATTGCTACATTTCAAAAACAACGTGAGATTCGTGTAAATTAAAGAAGCAGCTCTACCTGTAATATGAAACCGTCGTTCAGCCAAAAGAGATGCGCGCTCTTACAGTCCACTTCAGTGAGAGAAACTTGCAGACAGAGTTGTACGAGCTGGAAGCAAAGAGATCGTAGAAACGAACAGTATCGTAATTACTTACCGATCACAACATAATTTTTATTTTCTCTAAAATTCATTATTATCGTGTCGACATTTTATTAACAAAAATCTTAGCGATCATACATGGCCGATTATTTGTTTAAATAGAGAATTTGTTCTTGCTGAATCTCAATCTCACAGTTTTTTTTTAAATCAAATACAAATTATTTTGAGTTTCTGGAAGCCTCATTTATCTAATTCGGCAGTCGACATGTTTGTTTATTCTCACCTCATTTTTCAACTCGACGTCAGTATTGTGTATGGAGCACACATGAATAATATGTACTATCTGCTTCGCCTAAAAGTGCAGACGAAATTTTTTTAGTGACTTGAACATTGGAAATCCGTGAAATTTTCTATTTTTAAGCAGACAATGGAATTTGGTTTCATGGATAACAAGTTGGCAACGTAGGTATATAATTCTCACCTCTTTGGCGGTCTTCTCGCAGAAGTAGCACGTCACAACGATTTTCAACCAGACGTAGCACGCGTCGAACATATAAAAGCTCAATATACTTATCGAATTGTAGTCCTGTGGATTTTCGATGACTAATGCCTGTGTGTAAGTGTAATACAGAGTTGCGACAACGCTCTGTACGCTCAATATAGAGTGGAATATTATTTGAGTGTTGAATATTTTGTTCAGCAATTTCGTAATCAAGCACAGCTGCAGGTGAATGTATCTTCGAGCAGAAAGTTCATGATTAAATACATATCATTATATTATATATTATATATTATACATCTATTATTATTATTATTATTATTATTATTATTATTATTATTATATTATATTATTATATAATTATTATAATATATATTATATTATATTATATATTATTATATATTATTATATATATATTATTTAATTAATTATTTTTATATATTATTATCTATATTTTGTTCAGCAATTTCGTAATCAAGCATAGCTGCAGGTGAATGTATCTTCGAGCAGAAAGTTCATGATTACATACATATCATTTTATATTATATATTACATCTATTATTCTTTCATAATTAACGAAAACTGATGATTAAACAACCAAATTCTTGTTTTAATCCTCGATACCTGATTTGTTGAAGCATATTGATCCTATCCAAAGCACGCAACTGGCATTTCATGATTCGGGTTCGCCTGAATTCAGTGACTTTGTTTGGACAGAAAAAATGTCTGACGAGCCATTCGTTTAAACATCTTTGTAACCATGAAGGATCCATTTTGTCACTCCAGTCTTCCATTTCTGTCGGGCAATCATCGACGAAGAACTTCTTCAGAAGCTCATTCGTTTGTTTGAAGCTTTTTCTCAGCCAACTGGTATATAAGAATATTAAATATTATTCAACTATTGTTGCATTAAATATTGAAGTATTATAGTTATTGAATTATTAGATATAATATATATAATATATATTCATTATTATATATAATTATATATAATATATATAATGATAATTATATTATTATTATATTATTTATTATATTATTATTATTATATTATTATTATTATATTATTATTATATTAATAATGAATTATTATTACAAGAGGGTGTCCCGAAAATGTCTCGCAATCCGGAAATGGAAGGTTCCTGAGATCATTTGGAGCAACTTTTTCCTTTGCGAAAATTTTCTCCGAGGCTTCGTTTACGAGTTATTAACGAAAAAACACTGACCAATAAGAGGCGAGCTCGGCAGGCGCGCGGCGGCCCAGCCAACGAGTGCTTGGAGCCCAGTTCCGTTCATTGGCTCGGCCGTCTCGCGCCAAATGATCTCGCCTCTGATTGGTCACTATTTTTCGTTAATAACTCGTAAACGAAGCCGCGGATCGCATTATCGCTAAGGAAAAAGTTGCTTCAAATCACCTCAGGAATCCCCTACTTTCGGATTGCGAGACATTTTCGGGACACCCTGTATATCAGAACTGCAATGAGGTACCAAATAATTTGTACCTAAATAAAATGCGTAAATCAAATATGATATTAAATCTGACATAGAAAACCATTTGCATAAAAGATTTTTAATCGATCACGTACAAAACGTGCGACATGAAGTCCAAGACGACCATTCCTCCGATGTAAAAGATGATACTATGTAATGCGTCAGTTATTATAAGTATCTTGTCCTCTTTTAGCAAATATACCATGTACACATAAATAATACAGTACAAGAATCCGTTAAGGGCACTAGCAACACAAATCGCAGCAATCCACATGTAAATGTACCGATGATCGATCACAACGTTCAGTTTCATTAGGATCTGCTCCGTCTCAGCGATATTCTTTCTCAAAAGTGACATTTCCTGTAAAGGAATCTTAATTTGAAAAAATTCTTTTTTGTTCATGGAAAATGGCCATGGAGTCTCCCATGGTTCATGGTAGAGGTCTTTAAGGTGAGAACTTTATTTGCAAGCAGGTGAATTTGATTTGCAAAAGGATGAGTGTAACCTGCGAAAAGGTCAATTTGATTTGCAAAAGGCTGAACATAATTTGCAAAGGGTAAGAATATGAATTGATCTGGCAAGAATGTAGATATGATATACAGGATGTCCCATAATTATGTTATCACTTAGAATGGGGTGATTCCTATGGGGTGATTCCTATAAATTTGAAGTAAGTTTTTTGAAGTAACTTATCTTGTTGCCTCATTCCAAGTAATAGCAAAATTAACGAGAAGCATTTTAGCCATTGTGTTCAGCGAACTAGTAGCTTTAACATTTGAAAGCAATTCAAGTAATTTGGGAGTTAATATATATAATTATAATATAATATATAATTATAATATAATATATATAATTATAATATAATATATATAATTATAATATAATATATATAATTATAATATATATAATATATATAATTTAAAAGCAATTCAGTTAATTGGGAAGTTTTAAAGTAGTTATTGCGTTTGAAAAGGTGAACGAATACTTTTTTCCAGGAGTCGTAGCAGCGTATTACTATCATAAACACTCTAAAACAGGGGTGTCAAACTCAAAAGCTAACTTGGGCCATAATAATAAATAAACAATGCTTAACTTTAGGTGGGCCGCAAAAAAAATCAATGTTCATAGAAACAAATATTTTTATTTTGACTATAGTACATTTCAATAAACATATATAAAGTTAAATTATTGTTTACGTCCTGATACTTGACATCAAAAATGTTCATCTCGGGCTTGACACCCCTGTCGAGTTTGACTCACCCCTCGAGTTTGATACCCCTGCTCTAAAATATAATTATATTCTAATACATACGTGCAATTGACATTTTTGTATCGCCTACCTTGTAATACTTCCAGCCTAATATTTGCATAGTAAAAGTAGACAGAAAGCCGAGAACCGACACGATCACGTATACTACAGATCCTAGATCGTTAAACGAAAGCGTCTGTTCAAGTGAACAATCGAAGTACACGGAATAAAGGAAACATGATATCAGTATTGCCTTATACAGAAGGCTCAACAGTAACCAAAACCATGTATTGGAATAGTTGAGTGTTCTCACACCTGCCATGCGATTCAGCATAACGACAATCGTCGTTGTACTGTCGAAAGTGCGAGCCTTCATTGAGAGCGTTCTGCTTTCTTCTCCCTTTCGGTGTAATTAATTTATGCTCTTCGAAGTCCTCGAACGATATATTTATGATATATTTATCCCCGAAACGAGGACTTTCTCTTCACTCAGGATTCTTCGTTTTCAATCACCGTCGAATACTCTGCCTTTCTCCGACGAGAAACAAGCTTTGCTACTACCGATGATCGAGACACGGGCATTCCGCGTAGATGTAGATCACCTGCGTGATCGTTATTGTCCTGGCGGAACGCGCAGCACCCCGACGATAACAAAGCAATTGCATTAGAGCACAGAGAAAAAGTAACGATTACGGTAATAACGAACCGATCGAATTGTCTATTGAAGTTGAAAGCGTCGAGAAGCATTTGAGATGAGGACGAAGTGAACAAGCAAGAGAGACCATTTTATTTTCAGGTATTTTTGCCTTACAGTTAACGATCGATAGATAACCGTGACTCTTCCGATTAAAAGCCACTTCCGGGTTAAATGACAATGATTTACATCGCGAGCTTACAAATGAGCTCGATTTACATCGTGTTGGGGCTTTATTTTAAGCAGAAGAATCTCAGGTATTCGTCGGTACTACAATTGCAAAAGTAAGGCGATAATTACTGAATATGCAATTTTCTTTATTGCACGTTTATATAGTGGAATGCCTTTAATTAAATTGGACTCTTGGATGCAAGAAGGGCCTGAGTGACAAAAGCGAGTATCGAGGAAAGTGTCTCCGAACATTATGAAGACAGAAATTTCTTAAAACTCTTTAGAGAATATTTGAAACTTCAATTTTTCTTCTTTTCATATCATTAGTATAATATACTTTTTTTATAACATATTTTATACGATTATTGATGATAACAGCTTCAGGCCCTTTTTGCATAAAATTCAAAAATGTGATAAAAAATGATATTTATTTTCATTCTTCGCTATAATTATTAACTTCAGTTGAATGTGGTGAAATTAGATTTTGATCCGAATACGCCTAATGTCCCACTCCACTGTATCATGATCAGAAAGTAGGTGAATATGCCTCCAATGCTCTGTAACAAATCAATTGTAAAATTAGCAGGGATTAGTTTGATTTATTTTCACATTTTTATCGTCAAGAAATAAAATCTCTCAGAGTTTCGGTATGCTTTTATACTATATTTTTGTAAACTGAACGAGTGTTTTATTTCTTTCATTTGCTCATGATCTCGACAGTTTCGAGTAGGCAAAATCTATCGGAAAATTGAGTTAGATAATAATAATTAGTAATTAATAATACAATTTATATCGCGTCAGATATTTTGTTATACGAACTTCCTATATTTTATCGATTAACTAATGTACACCGGAGTTTCTGATTTCTCAAAAATTGTGAATATTTAAACTAAATTCACACACACACACACACACACACACACACATTTTACAGCTTCAAGTTACTGGAAAAGGGAACACGTATTATTAATGACAGCACCCAAATGTACTGAACTAGAATGCTGTGTTAGATGTCGTTCATCCTATTTTCAACAACTGTAATTTCCTCGCAGAAAATATTCATTTGATAATAACATTGAGATAAATAAAAGAAACACGTCTACCTGTAATATGTAAACGTCGTTCAACCAGAAGAGATGCGTGTCATTGGTGTCCATTTCAGCGAGTGAGACTTGCAGGTAAAATTGTGTGAGCTAGAAGCAAAGAGATCGTGAAAACGAACTTATTATTACTTGTCAATCGTGATACAATTTTTATTTTCTCTAGAATTCAAACTGTATGCACGACAATCTATCCAAATAGAAAATTAATTTTTGCTGATTTATTTAATTACGGTATCTCAATCTCACAGTTTCTTTTTCATCAAATACAAATTATATTGTCTTCCTGGAATACTTATTAATGTGAAGCTTTTTAATACGACGGTCGACGTGTTTGTTTATTCTCACCTCATTTCTCAACTCGACGTCAGAATTGTGTATGGAGCACGAGTGAATAATGTATATTATCTGCTTTGCCTAAAAATGCAGATGAAAATTTGTAAGTGACTTGAACATTGGAAACCCGTAAAATTTTCTATTTTTAAGCAGATAATGGAATTTGGTTTCATGGATAACAAGTTGACAACGTAGGCTTATATCTACGTTGAAGTTTAGACTCCTAGAGGTTTATACTTTTCACCTCTTTGGCGGTCTTCTCGCAGAAGTAGCACGTCACAGCAACTTTCAGCCATGTGTAGATCGCGTCGAGCACATAAAAGCTCAATTCATACGGCGACTCCAAATCTATTTCTGTGTAAACATAATAGAATATCCCAACAACGCTCTGTATGATCACTATCGAGTAGAACATCATCTGAGTGTCGAATATTTTGTTCAGCAATTTCGTAATCGCGCACAATTGCAGGTGAATGAATCTGCGAGCAGAAAATATGTCATTATTATAAGTTATTTAATTAATTTTCGACAACCGATGGCTGAAGTCTCATGCACGGATGTAAAGCTCGAAGCTCCACTTCCTATATTGACTATTTTTCTTACCAAGCTGAGCGTCAATTAGGGAGAATTGACTGTACCTGATTTGTTGAAGAATATTGACCTTATCCAAAGTGCACAACTGGCGCTTCATGATTGGAATTCCCCTGAATGGAGTGACTTTGTTTGAAGAGAACCACGAAACAATCATTTTGTTATTCGAGTCTTCCGTTTCTGTCGTGCAATCTTCGCCGAAGAACTTCTTCAGAAGATCATTCGTTCGTTTGAAGCCTCCTTCCAGCCAACTGGTATATGGGAACATTGAATATTATTGAACTGTTGTTGCCCTAAGTATTGAAGTATCATCTATTAATTATTATTGAAATTTAATTATTATTATTATTATTATTAACTATTATATTATTATTGAAATATTAGGCGCCACATTTCTTTCGCATTCTGCTCGTTTATTAAAAAACATGTTCTTGACGTAACTGCTACATATACAGGATATCCCGTTTAACTCGACCATCTTGGATATCTCGCTTATTTTTTATAACAAGGAAATATAATTTTGTTTCGAAATTTCTCTATACATGTACATGTGAAATGCAATTAGAACTACAATGATGTATCAAATAATTTGTATCCAAATAGAATGCATAAGATTTTGTGTGATATTAAAACGCAAACGGATAATAAAAAAGCACACTTAGAAAATGATTTGCATAACAGATGTTTGAAGCCATCGTCTATGATGTTGTATTGCAGACATTTCGGATATCGATCACGTACCAAACGTGCGACATGAAGTCCAAGACGACTATTCCTTCCATGTACATCATGATATTGAGAAATAAATCGCTAAAGATAATCATTACATTCCTTCCTTGTAAGGGTCCCATGTATATATAAAATATACAGAATGAGAATCCGTTAAAGGCAGTCGCAGTACAAATTCCGACAATCCATATGTATATGTACCGATGGTCGACCGCAACGTCTAGTTTCATTAAACTCTGATCTGTTTCAGTGATACTCTTTCTCAAAAGTGACATTTCCTGTAAAGGAAGAATAAGCGGAGCAATATAATCCGAAGAAATTTAGAATTCGTTGAATTTCAAAATCGATATACAAGGTATCCCATAATTATGTTAACACTCGTAAAGAGATGATTGCTGAGGTCGTTTGAAGTAACTTTTACCTTAGCGAAAATGCAAAAGGATTAATTTGGAGTTCCAGAAGGCTAAAAACCAGAACCCTTGAATAAATATGTGAGTCACTGTACAGAGTGACACATAATTATGTTAGCACCCTATAATTAATCAATATCAGTAGCATTAATCGCTATTAACTCGTCACAATTTAATAATTACTTCGAGGTGCCGTAAAAAATTGTTATGCCATTTTCCCAACCAAAATTATATAAAATTGCGATACCATACAATAGTTTAAAAACGCAAACTCCGACTTTCGCAGATGATTATAAAGTATGATTTTAATACATTTTAATAATAAAAATGTATTTCATATTGGCATAGAGTATTTCCTGCGACAGAATTAACGTAGTAATGCTGCTAGAATTATCGATTTAGAATACATAGATAGTACGCTGTTATTATAAATATAACAAAATGTAATAATATTCCTATCGATGCACAATAAACGTATTCTCGTGGGCTGCCTACCTTATAGTACTGCCAGCCTAACACTTGCATAGTGAAGATAGACAAAAAGGCGACGGTGGCAATAAATATGTATACTTCGGCTAGCAGGTAGTAAGGCGCAACTGTCAGATTAAATGAACAGAACAGGTACACGAAATAAATAAAACCTGACATTACGATTGCTTTATAGAGAAAGCTTAGCAATAACCAAAACCGTGTTCCGGAATGTGTGAGCATTCTCGCTCCTATCATGCGATTTAACATGACGACAATCGACGTTGCATTGTCAAAAGTGACTCTCTTCATCGAGCGTTCTGCTCGCTTCTTCCTTCCGGTTTCAATAATTTATGTCCTTTACAATATCCCCCTATTCTTAGAACGAGGACTTTCTCTTCGCTCGTGACTCTCTTTGTTTTTAAGAACCGTTCAATTCTCTTCGTTCTTCCAACGGGAAACAAGATTTGTTACTAACAATGACCGAGCCACGAGCACACTGCGTAGACGTGAATATCTCCGTAATTGTTGTTGTCCTGGCTGGACGCGGGGCGCTCCGACGATAAGAAAGCAATTCCATTAGTGCTTAGAATAAAACATAACGATTACGACAATAATAAAGGGGTCGAATTGTCTATGAAGATTGAAAGCGTCGCATTTATATCAGCGGTTCCCTTGGAAATATCATGGAAACATCAGCAGTTTCCTTGGAAACGTCATGGCTTATAAACAAGAGACACGATTGAAATGTGCCGAGGCTATTTTACAAAAACGTAGTTCCACGTTTGAATATAAATTTACGCTACGCGCACGTTTGAATTTCCTACCGCAGTGCCTCGGATAGAGAATGAGTGCAGTGAAAAGAAAGAAGACAGACGTACAGTAATGTCTCCCTAATTGACGCTCAGAATGTGCACAAAAATGGACAATTTATAAAGTGGAGATACGATTATTCGAGCCTTTCGTTTGGTTTTTATAGTCGTTTATATAGTTTATATAGTTCATATAGTTGTTTTATTCATAACTATAAAAACGAGCCGCAAGGCATTTACTGTGTTTCCAAATCCACTTGACTGATTCGCTTAAAATTTGATGTGCATCCGCAGTGCATGCATCATCATATCCTGAATTAGAATTATTTCACGAAGTGCCATCGACGTTGATATTTTTCCCGACAAAAGAAAATCACAAACGATACTGAAATATGTATAAATACAATTTAAACTGTTTACTGCGCGAACTGTTNCATTATGAAGACAGAAATTTCTTAAAACTCTTTAGAGAATATTTGTAACTTCAATTTTTCTTCTTTTTATATCATTGGTATAATATACTTTTTTTATAACATATTTTATACGATTATTGATGATAACAGCTTCAGGCCCTTTTTGCATAAAATTCAAAAATGTGATAAAAAATGATATTTATTTTCATTCTTCGCTATAATTATTAACTTCAGTTGAATGTGGTGAAATTAGATTTTGATCCGAATACGCCTAATGACCCACTCCACTGTATCATGATCAGAAAGTAGGTGAATATGCCTCCAATGCTCTGTAACAAATCAATTGTAAAATTAGCAAGGATTAGTTTGATTTATTTTCACATTTTTATCGTCAAGAAATAAAATCTCTCAGTGTTTAGGTATGCTTTTATACTATATTTTTATAAACTGAACGAGTGTTTTATTTCTTTCATTTACCCATGATCTCGACAGTTTCGAGTAGGCAAAATCTATCGGAAAATTGAGTTAGATAATAATAATTAGTAATTAATAATACAATTTATATCGCGTCAGATATTTTGTTATACGAACTTCCTATATTTTATCGATTAACTAATGTACACCGGAGTTTCTGATTTCTCAAAAATTGTGAATATTTAAACTAAATTCATTTTACAGCTTCAAGTTACTGGAAGAGGGAACACGTGTTATTGATGACAGCATCCAAATGTACTGAACTAGAATGCTGTGTTAGATGTCGTCCATCCTATTTTCAACAACTGTAATTTCCTCGGAGAAAATATTCATTTGATAATAACATTGAGATAAATAAAAGAAACACGTCTACCTGTAATATGTAAACGTCGTTCAACCAGAAGAGATGCGTGTCATTGGTGTCCATTTCAGCGAGTGAGACTTGCAGGTAAAATTGTGTGAGCTAGAAGCAAAGAGATCGTGAAAACGAACTTATTATTACTTGTCAATCGTGATACAATTTTTATTTTCTCTAGAATTCAAACTGTATGCACGACAATCTATCCAAATAGAAAATTAATTTTTGCTGATTTATTTAATTACGGTATCTCAATCTCACAGTTTCTTTTTCATCAAATACAAATTATATTGTCTTCCTGGAATACTTATTAATGTGAAGCTTTTTAATACGACGGTCGACGTGTTTGTTTATTCTCACCTCATTTCTCAACTCGACGTCAGAATTGTGTATGGAGCACGAGTGAATAATGTATATTATCTGCTTTGCCTAAAAATGCAGATGAAAATTTGTAAGTGACTTGAACATTGGAAACCCGTAAAATTTTCTATTTTTAAGCAGATAATGGAATTTGGTTTCATGGATAACAAGTTGACAACGTAGGCTTATATCTACGTTGAAGTTTAGACTCCTAGAGGTTTATACTTTTCACCTCTTTGGCGGTCTTCTCGCAGAAGTAGCACGTCACAGCAACTTTCAGCCATGTGTAGATCGCGTCGAGCACATAAAAGCTCAATTCATACGGCGACTCCAAATCTATTTCTGTGTAAACATAATAGAATATCCCAACAACGCTCTGTATGATCACTATCGAGTAGAACATCATCTGAGTGTCGAATATTTTGTTCAGCAATTTCGTAATCGCGCACAATTGCAGGTGAATGAATCTGCGAGCAGAAAATATGTCATTATTATAAGTTATTTAATTAATTTTCGACAACCGATGGCTGAAGTCTCATGCACGGATGTAAAGCTCGAAGCTCCACTTCCTATATTGACTATTTTTCTTACCAAGCTGAGCGTCAATTAGGGAGAATTGACTGTACCTGATTTGTTGAAGAATATTGACCTTATCCAAAGTGCACAACTGGCGCTTCATGATTGGAATTCCCCTGAATGGAGTGACTTTGTTTGAAGAGAACCACGAAACAATCATTTTGTTATTCGAGTCTTCCGTTTCTGTCGTGCAATCTTCGCCGAAGAACTTCTTCAGAAGATCATTCGTTCGTTTGAAGCCTCTTTCCAGCCAACTAGTATATGAGAACATTGAATATTATTGAACTGTTATTGCGTAATTAATAATTATTGTAATTGCTTTGTTCATTAAATATTTAAGTATTATCATTACTAAACTATTATATTATTATTGAAATATTAGGCGCCACATTTCTTCCGCATTCTGCTCGTTAATTAAAAAACATGTTCTTGACGTAACTGCTACATATACAGGATATCCCNAACTAGTATATGAGAACATTGAATATTATTGAACTGTTATTGCGTAATTAATAATTATTGTAATTGCTTTGTTCATTAAATATTTAAGTATTATCATTACTAAACTATTATATTATTATTGAAATATTAGGCGCCACATTTCTTCCGCATTCTGCTCGTTAATTAAAAAACATGTTCTTGACATAACTGCTACATATACAGAATGTCCCGTTTAACTCGACCATCTTGGATATCTCGCTTATTTTTTATAACAAGGAAATATACTCTTTTAATTTCTCTATACATGTACATATGAAATGCAATTAGAACTACAATGATGTATCAAATAATTTGTATCTAAATAGAATACATAAGATTAACTGTGATATTAAAACGCAGACGGATAATGAATAGGCACACTTAGAAAATCACTTGCATAACAGATTTTTGAAACCATCTTCTGTGATGTTGTATTGCAGCCATTTCGGATATCGATCACGTACCAAACGTGCGTCATGAAGTCCAAGACGACTATTCCTCCTATGTACATCGTGATATTGAAAAATAAATCGCTAAAGATAGTCATTACATTCCTTCCTTGTAAGGATCCCATGTATACATAAAAAAGACAAAATGACAATCCGTTAAAGGCAGTCGCAGTACAAATTCCGACAATCCATATGTATATGTACCGATGGTCGACCACAACGTCCAGTTTCATTAAGCTCTGATCTGTTTCAGTGATACTTTTTCTCAAAAGTGACATTTCCTGTAAAGGAAGAATAAGCGGAACAATATAATGAGAAGAAATTTAGAATTCGTTGAATTTCAGAATCGATATACGGGGTGTCCCTTAATTATGTTAACACTCGTAAAGGGANTGCTTAGAATAAAACATAACGATTACGACAATAATAAAGGGGTCGAATCGTCTATGAAGATTGAAAGCGTCGAGAAGCATTTGTGAAGAGTACGAAATGACCAAGCAAGAGAGACCATTTTATTTTCAGGTACTTTTGCCTTACAGCTAACGATCGATAGATAACCGAGATTCTTCCGATTAAAAGAACTTCCGGGTTAAATGACAATGATTTACATCNTAATTAGGTTAGCACCCTATAATTAATCAATATCAGTAGCATTAATCGCTATTAACTCGTCACAATTTAATAATTACTTCAAGGTGCCGCCAAAAATTGTTATGCCATTTTTCCAATCAAAATTATATAAAATTGCGATATCGTACAGTGGTTTAAAAACGCAACAAATGATTCTTCTGATGTAAGACGTGTAAAGTTCTCGACGCAAACTCCGACTTTCGCAGATGATTTTAAAAACAATTTTAACACATTTGAATAATAAAAATGTATTTCATATTGGCGTAGAGTATTTCCTGCGACAGAAATAACGTAGCAATGCCGCTAGAATTATCGATTTAAAATACATAGATAGAACGCAGTTATTATAAATATAACAAAGTGTAATAATATTCCTATCGATGCACAATAAACGTATTCTCGTGGGCTGCCTACCTTATAGTACTGCCAGCCTAACACTTGCATAGTGAAGATAGACAAAAAGGCGAGGGTGGTAATAAATATGTATACTTCGACTTGCAGGTAGTAAGGCGCAACTGTCAGATTAAATGAACAGAACAGGTACACGGAATAAATAAAACCTGACATTACGATTGCTTTATAGAGAAAGCTTAGCAATAACCAAAACCGTGTTTCGGAATGTGTGAGCATTCTTGCTCCTATCATGCGATTTAACATGACGACAATCGTCGTTGCGTTGTCAAAAGTGGCTCTCTTCATCGGGCGTTCTGCTCGCTTCTTCCTTCCGGTTTCAATAATTTATGTCCTNAATAATAATTAGTAATTAATAATACAATTTATATCGCGTCAGATATTTTGTTATACGAACTTCCTATATTTTATCGATTAACTAATGTACACCGGAGTTTCTGATTTCTCAAAAATTGTGAATATTTAAACTAAATTCACACACACACACACACACACACACACACATTTTACAGCTTCAAGTTACTGGAAAAGGGAACACGTATTATTAATGACAGCACCCAAATGTACTGAACTAGAATGCTGTGTTAGATGTCGTTCATCCTATTTTCAACAACTGTAATTTCCTCGGAGAAAATATTCATTTGATAATAACATTGAGATAAATAAAAGAAACACGTCTACCTGTAATATGTAAACGTCGTTCAACCAGAAGAGATGCGTGTCATTGGTGTCCATTTCAGCGAGTGAGACTTGCAGGTAAAATTGTGTGAGCTAGAAGCAAAGAGATCGTGAAAACGAACTTATTATTACTTGTCAATCGTGATACAATTTTTATTTTCTCTAGAATTCAAACTGTATGCACGACAATCTATCCAAATAGAAAATTAATTTTTGCTGATTTATTTAATTACGGTATCTCAATCTCACAGTTTCTTTTTCATCAAATACAAATTATATTGTCTTCCTGGAATACTTATTAATGTGAAGCTTTTTAATACGACGGTCGCCGTGTTTGTTTATTCTCACCTCATTTCTCAACTCGACGTCAGAATTGTGTATGGAGCACGAGTGAATAATGTATATTATCTGCTTTGCCTAAAAATGCAGATGAAAATTTGTAAGTGACTTGAACATTGGAAACCCGTAAAATTTTCTATTTTTAAGCAGATAATGGAATTTGGTTTCATGGATAACAAGTTGACAACGTAGGCTTATATCTACGTTGAAGTTTAGACTCCTAGAGGTTTATACTTTTCACCTCTTTGGCGGTCTTCTCGCAGAAGTAGCACGTCACAGCAACTTTCAGCCATGTGTAGATCGCGTCGAGCACATAAAAGCTCAATTCATACGGCGACTCCAAATCTATTTCTGTGTAAACATAATAGAATATCCCAACAACGCTCTGTATGATCACTATCGAGTAGAACATCATCTGAGTGTCGAATATTTTGTTCAGCAATTTCGTAATCGCGCACAATTGCAGGTGAATTAATCTGCGAGCAGAAAATATGTCGTTATTATAAGTTATTTAATTAATTTTCGACAACCGATGGCTGAAGTCTCATGCACAGATGTAAAGCTCGAAGCTCCACTTCCTATATTGACTATTTTTCTTACCAAGCTGAGCGTCAATTAGGGAGAATTGACTGTACCTGATTTGTTGAAGAATATTGACCTTATCCAAAGTGCACAACTGGCGCTTCATGATTGGAATTCCCCTGAATGGAGTGACTTCGTTTGAAGGGAACCACGAAACAATCATTTTGTTATTCGAGTCTTCCGTTTCTCTCGTGCAATCTTCGCCTAAGAACTTCTTCAGAAGATCATTCGTTCGTTTGAAGCTTCTTTCCAGCCAACTAGTATATGAGAACATTGAATATTATTGAACTGTTATTGCGTAATTAATAATTATTGTAATTGCTTTGTTCATTAAATATTTAAGTATTATCATTACTAAACTATTATATTATTATTGAAATATTAGGCGCCACATTTCTTCCGCATTCTGCTCGTTAATTAAAAAACATGTTCTTGACGTAACTGCTACATATACAGGATATCCCGTTTAACTCGACCATCTTGGATATCTCGCTTATTTTTTATAACAAGGAAATATACTCTTTTAATTTCTCTATACATGTACATATGAAATGCAATTAGAACTACAATGATGTATCAAATAATTTGTATCTAAATAGAATACATAAGATTAACTGTGATATTAAAACGCAAACGGATAATGAATAGGCACACTTAGAAAATCATTTGCATAACAGATTTTTGAAACCATCTTCTGTGATGTTGTATTGCAGCCATTTCGGATATCGATCACGTACCAAACGTGCGACATGAAGTCCAAGACGACTATTCCTCCTATGTACATCATGATATTGAGAAATATATCGCTAAAGATAATCATTACATTCCTTCCTTGTAAGGATCCCATGTATACATAAAATAGACAAAATGACAATCCGTTAAAGGCAGTCGCAGTACAAATTCCGACAATCCATATGTATATGTACCGATGGTCGACCGCAACGTCCAGTTTCATTAAGCTCTGATCTGTTTCAGTGATACTCTTTCTCAAAAGTGACATTTCCTGTAAAGGAAGAATAAGCGGAGCAATATAATCCGAAGAAATTTAGAATTCGTTGAATTTCAAAATCGATATACAAGGTATCCCATAATTATGTTAACACTCGTAAAGGGGTGATTGCTGAGGTCGTTTGAAGTAACTTTTTCCTTAACGAAAATGCAAAAGGATTAATTTGGAGTTCCAGAAGGCTAAAAACCAGAACCCTTGAATAAATATGTGAGTCACTGTACAGGGTGACATATGATTATGTTAACACCCCATTATTAGTCAATATCAGTAGCATTAATCGCTATTAACTCGTCACAATTTAATAATTACTTCGAGGTGCCGTAAAAAATTGTTATGCCATTTTCCCAACCAAAATTATATAAAATTGCGATACCATACAATAGTTTAAAAACGCAAACTCCGACTTTCGCAGATGATTATAAAAACAATTTTAACACATTTGAATAATAAAAATGTATTTCATATTGGCGTAGAGTATTTCCTGCGACAGAAATAACGTAGCAATGCCGCTAGAATTATCGATTTAAAATACATAGATAGTACGCAGTTATTATAAATATAACAAAATGTAATAATATTCCTATCGATGCACAATAAACGTATTCTCGTGGGCTGCCTACCTTATAGTACTGCCAGCCTAACACTTGCATAGTGAAGATAGACAAAAAGGCGACGGTGGCAATAAATATGTATACTTCGGCTAGCAGGTAGTAAGGCGCAACTGTCAGATTAAATGAACAGAACAGGTACACGAAATAAATAAAACCTGACATTACGATTGCTTTATAGAGAAAGCTTAGCAATAACCAAAACCGTGTTTCGGAATGTGTGAGCGTTCTCACTCCTATCATGCGATTTAACATGACGACAATCGACGTTGCATTGTCAAAAGTGACTCTCTTCATCGAGCGTTCTGCTCGCTTCTTCCTTCCGGTTTCAATAATTTATGTCCTTTACAATATCCCCCTATTCTTAGAACGAGGACTTTCTCTTCGCTCGTGACTCTCTTTGTTTTTAAGAACCGTTCAATTCTCTTCGTTCTTCCAACGGGAAACAAGATTTGTTACTAACAATGACCGAGCCACGAGCACACTGCGTAGACGTGAATATCTCCGTAATTGTTGTTGTCCTGGCTGGACGCGGGGCGCTCCGACGATAAGAAAGCAATTCCATTAGTGCTTAGAATAAAACATAACGATTACGACAATAATAAAGGGGTCGAATTGTCTATGAAGATTGAAAGCGTCGCATTTATATCAGCGGTTCCCTTGGAAATATCATGGAAACATCAGCAGTTTCCTTGGAAACGTCATGGCTTATAAACAAGAGACACGATTGAAATGTGCCGAGGCTATTTTACAAAAACGTAGTTCCACGTTTGAATATAAATTTACGCTACGCGCACGTTTGAATTTCCTACCGCAGTGCCTCGGATAGAGAATGAGTGCAGTGAAAAGAAAGAAGACAGACGTACAGTAATGTCTCCCTAATTGACGCTCAGAATGTGCACAAAAATGGACAATTTATAAAGTGGAGATACGATTATTCGAGCCTTTCGTTTGGTTTTTATAGTCGTTTATATAGTTTATATAGTTCATATAGTTGTTTTATTCATAACTATAAAAACGAGCCGCAAGGCATTTACTGTGTTTCCAAATCCACTTGACTGATTCGCTTAAAATTTGATGTGCATCCGCAGTGCATGCATCATCATATCCTGAATTAGAATTATTTCACGAAGTGCCATCGACGTTGATATTTTTCCCGACAAAAGAAAATCACAAACGATACTGAAATATGTATAAATACAATTTAAACTGTTTACTGCGCGAACTGTTACACTTTTCTTGGGAAAAAATCTCGAAGAAACATTAATAGACACGCGTTTCACGCTAGAATGCCACCTTCGGTCATTAATTTACAATATAAATATATATATGTATATATAACATCCGTGGTTCTTGTCCAATTATCATTTATGTACAAATACAATTGAAACAGAACTCTGACGTAGGACAAAGTGACATCGTGTTAGTTGATACACGCTTGATACAGAATTATAAATATATATACAGAGAAAATATATCAGAGAATATTATATATAATACTATATTATATATAATAGAAAAATATACAGAGAAAATTATATATATATATATATATATAGAATATACAGAGAAAAGTTATCTAATTGGAGAAAACGATTTCTACATCTAAAACACACGAGTAGTTGTTGTTCGATCTTTGTCCACTTGCAATACGAAAAGGTTTCTCATGGTGGAACCGCTGATGGTGGGATCTTCGTAGTCCGTGGGTTTCCGGCATTGTCGTTTTATTCTTCTTCGCCTCGACTCTTTGCACAAAGTGTAGCAAATCGCTTTCTTCGACCATCTGGCTCTCCAGGCTAATTTTACCTCTGAACGTACCTCTGCGCTCAGCAGACAGTAGAGCAAGGCTACGAACGTACCCTAAAATTGACAAACGTTCGTTAACGCTCGAAGGCCAGGGTTTGGGTCCGTTTAGACCCCGAGTTATTTTGAATATCGTTATATTCAAATAATATCAATAATATATATTATATTCAAATAATATCAATAATATATATTATATTCAATAATATATATATAAAACGATAGGACATAGGATTTTTCGCGTTTCAAAAATTAGATATTTATATTGAATATAATATATATTATTGATATATATGTATATATTATATACATATATATATATATATTATGTATATATATGTATATATTATATTATATTATATTATGTATATTTATGTATATTATGTATATATTTTATATATATATATATATATGTTAGGTAATATTTTATATATATATTATATTCAATATAAATATCTAATTTTTGACAATTCGTTTCATCGTTCGCAAGCATCGTTTCAATTCGAATCTTTCATTTTATCTCGTTGGCTTTTGAGAAACGCGAAAAATCGGAGGATGTCCCATCGTTTTGTCGCGGAGTGTACGAAAAAGGCGTTCAAAGTATGATAATCTTGGCGGCTCGTTTCAAGGCACTCGAAATCAGTAAGGTCGCCCCTAATTCGAATGATTACCAAAAGGATGTCAGCGGCATAGTTTCGTTTCATGGGGCAAACGCGAGCGAGGACATCTTCAGCTTGCAATCTGAATGTCGGCTGCGACACCCAAGAAAAAGGAATGTACTATGTTGCACGAAACATGCATCGGTGATTTTGAGAAAGCAGAGAAAATGATCTCGCCACGGAGATATTCTTTGCAACGTGTTCTTCCTTTCGTGCTAGAGATTATGCTAGAGATTGCATCATTTGAATTGAAGAAGATAATCGGTTGGATCACTTCGTGTATTAGCATTTCAGTTTTTGCTAATTGTTCTTCGTGTTATATGCCATAGTCATTGGGGTACGAACATTTACAACGACTAGATTATAGTATAAAGTTATACAAATCAGTTAAAACGTAAGGTTTTATTTCTCATCATTTTATTTATCGTCATTTTCATTTAATAAAAGTGATAGAAGGAAATCGGAATACCTGAAAAGAGACGAAGAACTGATCGCAGAAGAGCCAGACGAGTTCCACACGGTGATCATTATGATAAGAGAAGCCCAAGAACAGCGTATAGTGGGCTCCGAAAAGGGGAACAAGGACTAACGTGGATTTAGCCCACCTGCTGTGCAAATGAAAGAAACTTTAATCTTTCTTCGTTAAGTAACGATTATTCAGATTGCAAAAAATGGCAGATAGCATCGAAAAGAATGTAAAATCCGATAAATAGTAAATTGTACATATGCTCACCTATACTGCATCTTCTTGCGCTGCAGGTGCACAGAGGTCCTCAGCTTGATGAAAAGTTCACGGACTATGTTGATGAAGAGCAGAAAGTTAAACTGTCGAGAATCATTCATTAAATTATATTGATTAACGTATTTCAAGCTCAAATTATTTTGCCGAATATTTAAGAAAGGAGGCGTCACGAAAATCAGCGTCTATAGTACATACACCCCCCCCCCCTTCCAAAAATACATATTTGGTATAAATTGTAATTTCTGACTTCTTCAGTTTAGGTAATATTTTATGTTTAGCATTTAGTTTTGTGACATCGTATTGTCGAAAGAAAATAATAAGTTAGAAGTGTCTGTCACTTATGCAATTAGTTTATCCATTTATCGCATTTTGTTCAGTGAAAACGTATGCAAAGTTTATTATAAATTATATTATTATATATTATATAAATTATATAATATATTATATTATCATATATATTTTAATATTATATGTTATATTATATTATTATATATATATTATAATATTATATATTATTATTATATAAATTATATATATATTATAATATTATGTATTATCATTTTATAAATTATATATTATTATAAATATGATAAATTCTCTCCAATTGTCCCTCAGCTTGTACACAAAAAAATGGACAATTTGGGGAGAGAAGCATAAAACTATAAAAACTATAAAATAGTATATAACTATAAAAACGATAAGAACTTTCGTTCACAAGCTGAGGGACAATTCGAGAGAATTTTACTGTATATGAAACATTTCACAACATGCACGCAACTACAGTGAATTTTCCCTAACTGACGCTCAGCTTGGAAACAAAAATGGACAAAAAAGGCTCGAATTTTCCAACTGTTCATTTTAGTTTCCAAGCTGAGGGTCAATTAGGGAGAATTTACTGTATTTACCATTCGACGTGGAACTGAAAAATTTCTCTTTCATACAAAACTTCTCTTTTCCAATAGTAAACTATAGTAAATTCAGCGACAACTCACCAAGATCGAAATCATGATCGGTATTCTGATGACGAGGAACAGAGAAGGATTGTTGTGAGTGGTCCAGCAAAGCGTGTCCTCGATCGTAGCTCGGATTACGATCCATGGAGCCACCACGAACACTGGCAAGCCTTCGTCGCGAAAATAGAACAAATAAAGCTTGATAATAATCACCTTAACGAAGCGCTTTTTAAAAAGGAGTATCTAAAGCTTGTAGTGTGTCTGTAGTACTGAGAAAACCTTAATGGACTCTTTTTCAAAATGAGAGTTCGTTTTTTTTTGTAATACCGCAGTAGTAAAAAGTAAACACAGTAGGCACAAAAGTAAAGCGCTTCTTTAACTATTTGATTACTATGAGTCGACTCTCTCTCTCTCTCTCTCTCTCTCTCTCTCTCTCTCTCTCTCTCTCTCTATGAGCCGATAAATAAATAAATGGGAGATTAACTAATGGAACTGTTTTGTACATGTTTTGAAGAATACAGACAACTTTATCTTATTTCTGTTTCGAAAATGATGGCAGTACGGACGGTCAATGTGCAGCATGTGCTTTCCATGACTCAATTTTGTTCACAATTGCCGTAAATTTTGTTCACACAAAAATCGAGGTTTTCTCTCTCTCTCTCTCTCTCTCTCTCTCTCTCTCTTGATCTACATTAAAATATCTAGAGAAAGTACATAGAGGATTTTTTAATCATTGATTTCAACAGAAATGGTGAACACTTAGAGACAAAAATTCATTTTTACTAAAAAAGAGAATAGTTAATATTGTTCATAATTTCTGTCTAAATGAATATTATTAACATCTTGAACATACTTCTCCAGATATTTTCATATAGATTCAGAGAAAAATTGATTTTGGATCTAGAAAAATACTTAAACGACAGCTTGCTTCATTCGCCATCATCATTCTTTTAAAACAGAAATACGCTTCGTTGTTACATCTTTTAAAAAAATATTTCTCTTTCTTCCTAACAGGCAAAGGTTCATTCTTTTATATCGTAAAAATTTTATATTCGTCGCAAATGCTCGCATCTCCTAAAAATTTTTAGAAGAAATCGAAGCTGTAATTCGATCGTTGACATATTATTCTCAACTCGATCTTACCCCATCCCATGAAAATGTACAGATTGGTCGCTGCGCTGTCGGAGCAAAACGCTAAAACGACCAGATTATGGAGATACAATCCCTCCATCAATATCCAGGAGTAATTGGCAACGATAGAGTACTGCCACGTGCTTGTAATTGCCTTGCACATCAAGATCTGGAACTGATCATTTCGATTCCAGATTATTTCGTTGCCACTTTCAGCCTCCCCTCGTTGCCGGCCGCCTCTACAATGCCTACGTTTCGCTGTTTGATGAACGCGTCCTCCCCGTTCACGTACACAACGTCCACGGCTAACCCGATCCCGTCGTCGATGATCCAGTCCCTGAGCAGCGTCATGAACGCCCTCATTATGAACGAGGCGAACAGGTGCATGTGCAGCCTATTTCTAGGATTCCTGAGCCTCCTAGACATGGTCGTAGACATCTGATATTTTATTTCATTTTATCCTGTTTTTATATACATTTGTGTCCTGAAAATGTCTCGCAATCCGGAAATGGAAGATTCTTGAGGTTATTTGAAGCAACTTTTTCCTTTGCGAAAATTTTCTCCGAGGCTTCGTTTACGAGTTATTAACGAAAAAATACTGACCAATAAGAGGCGAGCTCGGCTGGCGCGCGGCGGCCCAGCCAACGAGTGCACGGAGCCCAGTTCCGTTCATTGGCTCGGCCGTCTCGCGCCAAATGATCTCGCCTCTGATTGGTCACCGTTTTTCGTTAATAACTCGTAAACGAAGCCGCGGATTGCATTTTCGCTAAGGAAAAAGTTGCTTCGAATGACCTCAAGAATCCCCTACTTTCGGATTGCGAGACATTTTTGGGACACCCTGTATATTACTTTTCCTATCTGAGCATACCACGAGAATGTAACAAAAGCATGCGATATCTCCTATTTTCACGGACTTGAAATGTTAACGGTTCATAACAACGAGAGGCATTCTTTTTTCTTTTAATTTCCGTTACACATCCAGACCGAAGAAAGTTAAAAAACGAGAATTTTTCTTATTACTTTTTCGTCGTTCCGAGTAATATCAAAATGAAAGAAACAGTATCTCAGTGATTGTACAGTCTTGAAAGAGTTTCTTTGAAAGGTATTCGAATGATTTCTGTCAGGGGTTTTTACCGATTTTAATTATTTTTTCTAAATGCATCGCGATCCAATGATACGCATAAAGTTATGCAATTTACAGTATTAAATTCGCAGAAATTCGGAAGCTCTTTAGAAGAATATTCGGGTACCTTATCAGAGAGAAGATGATCATCGCGATGACGAGAGTAGCGAAGGAAACGGTGTAGCCGATCTGCGAGACAATCCTGACGATCGGCAACCATTTCTATAGGGATGAAAACCAAAATAACGCATGTTCTCGCTTCTCACGGTGTTTCGCGAATAGCATTTGATTCTTACGTCCAGCACAAAGGTTTCGAAGCTTTCGAACGTTTCGAAGGTTTCGAAGGTTTTGTAACTTTCGTACGCGTTCGTGCCGCAACGGCTGTAATTGCTCCATGAAATCCCTTCGAAATTCGTGTACCATTTTCCGTTCGAAAGGCAGATTTTCGTGGCGATCGATATGTTATTTAATTCCACGGTGGTCCTCGATTCTGCACCGTACACGAAGTCGATTTCTGGCGGACACGGGAGAATGGCTATTGTCGAGGCCCTTGTTAACGGCCAACAAAGGACACCGTCGAAAAATGGAGGACAGTGGCGAAATTCCGTGCTGTTCGCCGACGTTTCATTGTCTGTTCACACAAATCGTTAAAATTTTTCATTTTAGGTGGACTTCAGCTTTCCGCGAATGTGGTCTTGACAATTTGGAATTGCACGAGATCGGAGAGAAAATTAACGTGATAAGATGCCGAGTGTAATTGCGAGCGATGAAATACACGATATGATACAGGACGATTCGAAATACAGTAATGTCTTCCTAATTGACGCCGAAAAATGGAAAATTTGGGAAGAGGAGATACTATTGTTCGAGCCTCGCACCTCGATTTAATAATCGTTGACAATCGATAACTATAAAAACGAATCGACAGAATAGCGACGAAACTATATAAGACGCTCGCGAAAAATTCGATGTGCAGTAATGTCTCCCTTACTGACGCTCAGATTGTCCCTTACTGGTGTCTCATGTTGTCCAAATGAATAATTTGGGAAGAGGAGATACGATTTTATCGAGCCTTGTGGCTCGTTTTTATAATTGTGGACAATTTATAACTATAAAACTAAACCGCGAGGCTCGAATAATCGTGTCTTCTCTTCCCGAATTTTCCATTTTTGTGGACAATCTGAGCGTCAATTGGAGAGACATTACTATACATGATAATTGAATGTTGTGAGTAAAAATATCGAATAAAGGCGTTTATAATAAACGACTTATACTGTTCGGCAACTTCGACAATGTTATTCTTCTCTGCTGCGTCCTCCGGCTCTTTTTTTGTCCATTCGTATTTCTCATATTCTTAACGTTACATCATAATTCTGTAATATTTAATAATCTGATATATATATATATATATATATATATATATATATATATATATATATATATATATATA